GGGGGGGGGGGGGGGGGGGGGGGGAATGACCCACCTTCCTCCCTTGCTCTTCCCATTTCACATACTTGGTGATCTGCGATTCCACACAATGACTGGCTCGCTGAAATGTTCACGGCGGCATTCTGTCCCTCCCTGGCACGCCACGCCGTGCTCTGCCCGACGGCGGCCGGCCCTGTCTACCGGCATTCGTTTATTGTAAAGACGTAAGTGGAGTGTCCACACACCGCGGCCCACAGCCCAGGCGAAAGATGTTGCTGAGCATGAATGGGCCAGGTCAAGCAGCCGGCCAGCTTGCATTCAACCTCTGGGCAACTGCCACAAATTAGGAGGGGTGGACAGGCCCCTTAGAGCGGGGGGTATTGTGAAGCCCTGGACCCCTCATCCTGTAGATTAAAGGGCCTATCTGGCAAAGGTGAAGATTAATAGCCTTTTTGATGCCCCCCCCCCCCACTCCACTCCACTGCCCTCAATAATAAATCTACCTCGGAGCCAGTCAGCTGAAGCGACAGCTTTGCTCCCGCTCCCCCCCCCACACGCCCCCCGCCCCCAAGCTCCTTAGCCAGTCACCATGCGTGACGCTTGGCGCGGCCGCCGTCCCCGGAGCTCCAGGGCTGCCCAGCAGGCCCCCACATTCAGATGTGCCACCGCCAGGCTACATCTGTTTTACTATTGGTTTCAAATTCGGAGCCACCCGTTTTACACAAGGGAGAATAAAAAGTGCCCGGGATCTGGGGGTGGCCATTGAATTTAAAACAAAACAGTTTTAGAGCCGTACGCCAAAGCTAACTGGTAATACTACTCAAGTGGCTGAGCTCACTCCTCGTGTTTACTGTCACATATAAATAGTTTTTCAATTAAATCACAGGAAAACATTATGTGCATTTATTTGCACATAATCTGGACCACGATAAGAGTTTGAAAGATGGATGCATTTGTTTCCTTGAATTTTATATCCATAGCAACTGATAGTTATTACCTATCCCCACACCTTGATCGTGGATACAGAAGTCAATGTCCTGACTGTAATGCCCATTAACAATGTGAGAAACTAGAGTGCGGCAGACGGGGACATGAGAGTTGCATTTACTCTTGGTATTGACAACAGTAGGAGGTCTCAGGTACAGGGGAGGAAGGCTGGGGAGTGAAGAGACTCAGTGCTTAGCTGAAGACGGCTGCCCTTTGTCAGCTGCTTAAAGGATGGACAGCGCTGATGTTTCCTGGGCTCGCCCCCGCAGAGCCAATCTGCCGGCCAAATGCCATTGCTCATCCGAGCTGGTGCACCCTAAAAGGTGCAACCAGCCTTAAAGCAGCCTCACAAGGCCAGATGATGAAGAGGGACAAGAAGGCGAGTCCAGATAAAAGAGGAGAGGAGAGCTGAGAGATGGATAGAGGAACGGCAGAGACAGCGGAATGCCGGCTTCAACAGAGGGCTGAGGGGGATTCCCTCACAAAAAGATGAGGAAAAGGGGGTTATTATGGTCCTGGTGCAGTAGTGAAACACAAGGAAACACCGTTCTTCCCTGAGGATGACAGTAAAATTTCACTCACACCCGGATAGCCAAAAAAAAATAATAAATCATCACAGGTGTCTGACTAAATGTAAATGATGCGTACACTGAGGTCACACTTTGCCATGACATCATTTATCAAGATGCAGTAAAAAAGGATTCGTGACTCAGTCGTTAGGGAGGAACGCGGCGGGACATCTTTGTTTGTACCAATTTTACCATTTTCAGGCGCGTCCAGCAGTGCAATCGGAAGTGTTAGCTGTGGGGCTGGTCGTCGTGACGACACTTCAGACCGAGGCCTTTAAACCTGAGGTCTGTGAGCTAGACATCTGATAAATTATCAAAATGTTGGAATTAACACCCCATTTACGCATCACAGAAAATATTAAAGGGGGACCACCCACCCCCCACACAGTCAGAGTGAAAAACTTTCAAAGGGAAGCCCCCCCCCCCCCCCGGGAGAAACAAATATTAAAGCCTCCCAGCCCACAGTTCTTAGTTACTTCTGTGATCACGTATTAGTGGTTGGGGGTCCCTTACTCTGCTCTGTTTTCATTTTGGTTCAAAAAAAGGTTGAAACCCCCCGCTTCAGACAAATTGCACTGCTCTCTTCCTTTTTAATCTAGACAAGCAGATTTTTAAAAATAGACATACAAGTGGGTGCTGTTAGAGTCTCTCCCTCTTATTACAGCTTGCTTATTTAACCTCTTTAAGCATACATCAGTAACCTTGTTCAAAGTCTTTATTTCTGCATGCTCAAGCAGTGCAAATAGCTCAAGGAAATCAGACGTAAAGCCCTTTTCATTTCTGCCACGCCGCCGTGTTTCCTGTACATTTCCTGTCCGTTTCCTGTGTACCGATGACCTTTTCACTCAGCGGAGACAGCCGCTCTCCCTTCTGTCTCGGACCCTCAGCAGGCACAGATGAGCTAATATCCCAGTTGTCTTTATTTAATTCACTACATCATTTTGTGAACAGCAGTGTGCAAGAGCCAGACTTCTTTCTTGATAGAGTTTCCCCTGTCGCTCCCCTTTTCATA